GGCTGGCTGGCATGTGGTGCTGGGGGATTGAACCGCGGTCCCTGTACTTTGTCAAGCTTGGTCCAAGTAGGTGCTTTAGACCACTGAGCCATCCCGGCAGCCCCAAACAGCAATATTTGATAGATGAGTTGAAGCACATTGTGGTGGATTATTGTTAGTTTTAAGTTAAAATCCTGCAAATAACAGCCACAAAGGACAGTACACAGCTAGGAGAGCAGGACAATGTGTATCTCAGATGCACTTGACCCGCAGCCCATACATAAATATAACTTCCGTTAGTCTCTGTGGTTTCACTGGGCAAAATAAAGTGGGACACATCAGGTCCAAGAATACACAGAGAAGAAATGTAAGCTGCCACTATGGCAATAAAAATCAGGAGGAGAAAAGAAAAAAAAAAAGCTGGATTAAAGCGGGGTGGGGGTGCTTACTTTTTGGAAAGATAATTAATTCTTTAACATTTTACTTCTCATCAAATGTGCAAAGGGAAGCAGGGGAGTTCCCCAGCCATCTAACCAAATTAAAACTTCTACTCATAGCCTGGAAACTTCGATGGGTGTGGTTGGAAGTTTCAATTTCAAGTGAATATATACACATTGTAATTTCCGGATGGAGTCGCCTATACCTTCCCTAAGGCATCCACTAGCAGCATCTAGGGTGGTTGGCCTATTTCTGTTTAAACACACAACTTAAAACCTCCCCAGTCAATGTCTAATGAAGGGAGGCCCACGAACTCTAAATCTGACTTCTTTATATCAATCAAAATATCCCGTGAAAGATCACCCAGAGGCAAAACTTTCATCTTCACTCTTCCTGAGCTATACCAAACATCACGTTAAGCAGTTCAAATTTAGGGGTGAAGTAGACTTTTGGGTGTTTGTTTTGAGGTTGTCTGAGGTAAAAGAGGCAAAGGTACATAATCATATATATGGGAAACATACATTAGTCTGTTTAAGGGGTTTTTCCTAGGTGAGATGGGCTTTTGAACACTGCAAACATAGCCTGTTTTTCTAATTTAATAAATTCTCATGTTTTTCAATGCTCACATGACCCCATAATCCCATCATATGTCCAGTTATCTACAGTTAACTTTATACCCAGAAATAGCTTTCTGTTTTGTTATGGGTTTTGCAGAAATGAAACTATTGATGAAGAAAACACTATAAGCCAGAGTCTTCAAATGACTGGGCAAGAGTGCAAGAGAAAAAGACAGTATTTCATAACACTGCGGCTTTTTCCTTAATGCAAGGAGAAACCCACAAGATCCTCTAGCTTGTCCGTAAGACAAAAGGGCCACCTCATCCCAGCCCCTTCGCTTCCATCAAGAACAAGCTGGAGGAACCTAGCCCTCCGAGCTGCCCAGCCAAGGGACAGGAGCCCAGCGAGGCAGCACCTTGACAGGCTGTGTGACTTGCCGCTTCACTGTTGCAACGTGTCCGCATGTCACAGGAGGTCTTGGAAGCAATCCCATTATTTTTCACTTCTCCACAGTGCCCTGTCCTCACGATGACACCAAGACAGCATATCTGAGCGCCTGACCTGGGATCTGTGCATCTCCACCGCCACAGGACCTCATCTATGGAGTTCTAGGTAGAGACAATGTCCTACTTCATGACAAAACCTACGGCAGGCAGGCCAGAGACCGAGTGTGCTCCACTCATGCCTGATGACGACTTCTGCTCAATGGAAGGTCAGGACTGCAAAGCAACAAGCGCAGGACCCAAAACTGTTGTATGGATTCAGCAAAGAGATCTGTCTGTATCAGAAGAGTTACCCTCAGGGCCACGGAGATGGCTCAGTAGGATAAGCGCTTGACTGGCAAATGCAAGGATCTGAGTTCAATCCCCGGTTCCACCAAAAAAAAAAGAGTTACCCTGCCCAAGAAGGGGAACAGCAAACGTGCTTCTACGACCTCGAGCAATCTGACGGCAACCAACAAACTGTCCTGGAATCCTGGGTTCAGCAGCCAGCAGGTCACTCAGGGGGCCCTGGGAAGGATGCTGTTCAGCATATGGGTGCCTCACCGAGGAGGAGACACACGCCTGGGAACCCCACGCAGATCTAACTCCTTCCTTCTCTCTGTTCGTGACTCTAGGGCAGTGGTGGTGAACCTATAGCGCGTGTTACTGTGTTTTTCTTTTAAGACAAAAGATATTAATGTGTGCGCTGTTTTTTCTCAACTAAAACCTCAGTACTCAGGTTTTCCTGCAATGCTGGCACTTTACAATACAGACGCGGGTTCTGAGTTGCAATTTGGGTGCTGGTCTCTTAACGGGTTCACTATCGCTGATCTAGGCTGACTTCTGTGGTCCTCACATTTCTCTTTTATTAGCTTATCAAGCACACGCTTCCCATTTACAGCGGTAAGTCAGCACGTCATCAGCAATTAGAAAAATCAAACAAATACCATTATCTCAGAGGGAAACATCGAGACAGAAGGACTGAAAGAGACTAACACCCAACAGTCCAGATAAAAGGGACGCATTTATTCTCATAACTGCTTGTCTAGTCTGACCCCAGCAAAGAGGCAGGCTGGCTAGAGAATCAACTGACAGCTCACTAACCTCTACAGCAAACTGTCAGACAGATGAAAACCAGAGGAGCTTTACATTAACATGGGGGGGAGGGTAAGGATTTTCCCAAGAGGATTATAAACACGGCTCTAATTAAATTAAAATGCTACAGACACTGATATTAATGCATTCAAGTGTTGTAGAGGGATAAACTGCCGGTGGAGGTCAATGATGTGATTAAAAACCTCGTGATATGGTTACATTATTGTTTCGATGGTGAAAAAAATAAAGCATCCTGCTTTCACTGGTTTGTTAGGCGCAAACTATCAAACCAGCCGGCTGAACACAAGCGACACGCTGCAATTTCTGAGACTCACAGACATACCTGTGTGGAGAGTGGCAAACTAGGAGCGTGTATGTGTGTCTGTGTGCAGGAGCCGTGAAGGCTCTAAAGCGAGAGAGGAGGTCGAAGGTAATTGCAGGCAAGGGTTAAAATGAAAACTTTACTAACCATCACGGGAAGTTTTTGAGTGTGGCGGGGATGGAGTCTGATCCTAGACTTTTTGCCAGAACAAGTAGCAAATCCAAATTAATTTGCATTCCCTCTCCTCACTCCTCCCCCAAACCACGAAGGGCCAATGAAGGGTACTCATCTAATTCTGCCGAGGTTTTAAGCTGAAAGCTTAGCAGCTTGCGAATCTGTACCTTCCCTGTCAAACATGCTTACCCAGGCTAAACAGTTTATAATATCAAAAAAAAAAAGTCACTTTCAAAATTGTTCACCAAAGGACTTCTATACATCACAGGCATTCTCCTAGCGCATTTAAATACTTGTGGGGTTTTTACATTGTGTTTTTCCTTTCCAGTACTAGGGTTTGAATCCATGGCTTTGTCACTGAGCTATACCCCCAGCCCTTTTTATTTTGTTATTTTAGAACACAGTTGGACCAAGCCACTCAACTGCCCAAGCTTGGCTCAAATGTACAATTGTCCTGCCTCAGGCTCCCACAGGGCTGGGACTGCAGGCAAATGCCACCTAGCTAAGCATGTGTTCTCATAATACTATGACTTCCAAGAGACTGGAAGTTTTAGAAATTTAGGGCTTATTGTTAATTAAACAGTAACTTTCTAGAAATAAAGACAAAGCATCTGGGAACTGGGAAAAACAAATGTTGAGAATCTGCACAAAGATGGCTTTGCAGGTGACCTTAAAGATTCCTGAACAGTACAGAGGAGCTGCTCTTGATTGAGTAGCATTTTCTAGAAACTGCCCTGTGCCCGTTATAAAAGCCACGATTATCCCTGATGACATCTCAAGTTTGTGTTGAGAGTTGGAAGTTGAGGAGGACAAGCACCCTGAGAACACAGCAGGGACCACCTGCATGGAGCCAGGGTGAACTGCACGAGCATCTTGTATCCACTTGGGCTTCGGTGCCTACAGCAGTAATGAGCATCTGAACCCAAGCCGGACGGCGAATGGCAGGCACCAAAGACAAGAGCCGTCAAACCCGCCACGTTCAGCGCTGGAGGAAAGGCTCTTTTCTACT